CACAATAAAGGTGTCTTTTGTTTGCCACTAATTCCTAAGTTTAAAATAACCAAAATCAATCAATGAGCTTGCATGGCATCTAACTCAAGGTTTGTTTTTACTTAAGTTGGCTGACATACTATGTGATGCACCATAAAACAAGAATAAACAATTGCATTCTGCATACTCTGGGAAAGTTATGTGAAACAGTGAAAGACAAAAATCTCAAGAAATTGAAGGCTGAATCCTATGTGATTATTTCCCTTCAGGTTGTGTGCAAACATAATACCTTGGAACCACAGAGAAGAGCCAACCAGTGAGTGCTTTTCCCTCATCCATCCCTCCCGAACCTATAACAAAAGTGTCCCTCGCGGGCCAAAATGACCCAAAGGCCAAAAATGACACTAATTTTATTTTTGGTCCAGAAAGCTTATATTGGAACATTTTATATATATTTTTTATGTAGGTTTTTATATTACTTTTTGGTGATTTTTTTGATCATATTTACCTTTTATTCTGGATATTTTTAAGAAAACATAAGCAAATAAGCAGTTTTTGTACATTATTTCACCAAAAAAAAAAACCAAGACAGACAATTTCAGTCCTGTTTCATCAAAAACCAACAGATGGCCTTGGAATGGAGTCACTGAGTGTCTCTGATGCCATCTGGTGGGGGAAAATTACATAAAATTGCATTTTTTGGTTACAGCCACTAAAGGGGCCTATAGAACCCTATGGAGATTTTTAAATACGCAAAACAAGTGAAACATGAAAAATGAGATAATCTTAAGGCTTCAATTTGGTTGTTTATGGATTTAAATATATATTGAAACATTACAAAATCCAAATTTTGTAAAAAAAAAAGTATATCCTAAACATATGCATATTCATACAAATTCATAAATATATAATATATTTTTAAAAATATAAATATGATATAAACTCATTGGTCTCCACCACATCCCTCAAATCTAACTGTGTAAAGTAAAAAAAAAAGAAGGAAAAATTACAGTCATATCCCAGCAGAAACATGAAAAACATTACAATGTGTTCTATGAGTGTGTGTACCATGTGTGTGTTTGTGCGTGTGTGTGTGAGTTTTTTCTGCATTGGGAATATTCTGTAGTCTCAGCCCTTCGTTTGGGTATAAATCTTTACTGGATTGTCTCAGATTTTGTATATAAAAAAAA